GTGTGTGTGTGTGTGTGTGTGTGTGTGTGTGTGTGTGTGTGTGTGTGTGTGTGTGTGTGTGTGTGCGTGTGTGTGTGTGTCGGATTTATCATGACAGTTATTTTTGTTAACATAATAACTCTGGCGAATGCCTGGGTGGATTGTGTTGACATTCTGTATGTGGGTATGTGTGGGTATCATAATACCAAGTATGTGTCGGCAAAAGTTAAAAGGGTGGAATAGTTCGATTTTGGACATCCGGCGGTTCAAATATTTAGTGCACTACATTTTACTTTTATTCGAGGAATGTTGAAACAAAATCTTTTTTTGCTGCCCCCAGCCCCCCGGACCAGCCGCAGCCTAAGGGCGACCTCCGGCGGAGTAAGTACGAAGTGCAGGTGCTTCCGGCCGGGCCGCCCCAGGATGCACCATTCATGCAGCAGGCCGACTTCCGGAAACTCCGCCCGTCGTACGAGAAGGAGCTGGCGATAAGGAACTCCCTCAACAAGTTCGGCAGGAAGTTCACAGGTGAGAAACAAACAAAAAACAAACAAACAAACAAACAAGTTCGGCAGGAAATTCACAGGTAAGACAAACAAACAAACAAACAAACAAACAAGTTCGGCAGGAAGTTCACAGGTGAGAAGAAACCGCCTCCTCCTCAGAAACCTAGTCTTTCTCCATCCTCAAAGTTCAGATTTACTTAGCCTCCATGCCAAAAAAAAACTGGGGGGGTTTGGGAATCTTAATGGTCTTTGGGAGCTTTATGTGTTATTTTCTGATTGCATATAGACAACATAGTGGGCCTGGTTGAATTACCCCCGTTTTTTAGAACTGGGTTAATCAGAAAACAGCCGAAGACCAGCAAACCCCCAGTTCTATAAGCCTGCTACGGAGGCTAATCAGAAAACAGCCGAAGACCACCAAACCCCCAGTTCTATAAGCCTGCTACGGAGGCTAAGATTTACTGTTGTCTGAAAGTTTAACTCCCTCCCTCCCCCCCGCAGGCGATCCCGGCTACAAGCCCCGCGGTGTCCCGCCCAACAAGACGGAGCTGCCAGACGTCCCGAAGAAACCGCCGCCTCCGCAGAAACTTAGTCTTTCTACATCCTCACATGTCTCTCTACCTCTCTACAGGCGATCCCGGCTACAAGCCCCGCGGTGTCCCGCCCACCAAGACGGAGCTTCCAGACGTCCCGAAGAAACCGCCGCCTCCACAGAAGCCCAAGAGGAAGACTTCTTATCCTTCACTAGACTTCAAGACGTTACCTGAGCTCTATCAAGGTCAGTACGCCTGGGGTCGCTTAAATCTGATTTGATGGTTATTGATATGATTTTTTTTTGCCCTTGCAAGATGATGGGCTATATTACTAGTGGTAAAGAACCGAAAAATAGTGTGTAAAAGAGAACAATAACTAGAAAGATAACATTTGCATTGCAAATGCATAATATTTACCTTCGCACATGGTCTGAATCTAGAGTCTAAATCCCTCCTACTTTGAAATTGCAACATGATGTAACCCAACACCAGTTACCATGGTGACAGACGTCAATAAATCAGGTCTTTGGCCAGGTCAGAGTTTAGTGCTTGGAGAAGAGGAAACTGAGAAAAAACAACGTTTTCCTTCAGTAAACATAATGACCTCCTCCCTCCCCAGAAAACCTGCGTAAGAAGGAGCATGCGCGGCAGCAGCAGGAGAAGGAGGAGCGGCAGAAAAAACGGCGGGAAAAACAGAAGCAGGAGGCTGATGACGTCATCAGGCTGCCGCAGCTGGCCCACGCCGCGCTGCAGAAGATGCACGACATCAACAAGCATAGTAAGTTTCTCCTCACAAAACAAACAAACAAACAAACAAACAAACAAACAAACAAACAAACACGGCATCAGCAAGCAGAGTAAGTTTCTCCTCACTACTCACATAAACAAACAAACAGACACGACATCAACAAGCAGAGTAAGTTTATCCTCATCATTCACACAAAACAAACAAACAAACAAACAAACAAAAACACACACAAACACGACATCAGCAAGCAGAGTAAGTTTCTGCTCACTAACCACTCCAAACAAACAAACAAAAAAACAAACAAACAAAGAAACAAACAAAAACACACACAAACACCACATCAACAGTAAGTTTCTCCTCACTACTCACACAAAACAAACAAACAAGAAAACAAACACAAACAAACAAACACGACATCAGCAAGCAGAGTAAGTTTCAACTCATCATTCACACAAACAAACAAACAAACACGACATCAACAAACAGAGTAAGTTTCTCATTGCGGATTTTCAGACTCAAAAAACAATAATTGAACTAGATGTTTAAAGTTCAAACTTTCGATCCAACACAAAAAGGTCTCTCACCTTGAGCTTTGGACCAGTCACTCAGGTCTTCACTCTGGTCTTTTGAGTGACCTGTCGAAAGATCTAGGTGAGAGAACTTCTAGTGATGGATCGAAAGTTTTAATTGCAAACATGTAACTACCAACACAGATGAAGTTTCATGATAGTAATTGAACTAGGTATTGAAGATCTTCTAGAGTTGTTGTTGCGGGGAGACCATTTTGACCACCAATTCAACCTTCCTGTCTGTGGTTACACCACTCCTCCTCACATCTTGTGACTGTGCAGTACTCAAATAGCCATAACCATAACCATAACTATAACCAAAACCAAAACCTACCTGAAATCACGCACAACTTCTAACCTTCCAGAGCGTTCCGTACCGGGCAGAGAGAGCGGCATGCGGCTGGTAGAAGCCCGGCACTCGGGAGCCTGGCGCCCGCCGGCACAAGTCTACACCCCGCCCCGTACACTAACCAAACCTTCCCGCACGCAGAGCGTACCGTACCGGGCAGAGAGAGCGGCATGCGGCTGGTAGAAGCCCGGCACTCGGGAGCCTGGCGCCCGCCGGCACAAGTCTACACGCCGCCATGGCCGCACCACATCCCACACAAGGACGGAGACCCCCTCATCCCGTTCGAAGCCATGTACCCCACACCAGGTAGGACTGCTAACTATGCCGATACGACTCTAGTTTGTTTGTTTGGTTTTAACGTTTTTGTCTAGTTGTGAACTCGAAACTTGCCGTCGTTGCACCGATATTTACTTTTTCTACTGTAGCCGGTATTTTGTCTCAAACTTTTACCCTGTGTTTTATTAATCTCCAAGCAGATCATACGGTGGCAAGGCAGTATCTATTGGCCAAAGAAGTGACTAGTGGACACTCCTCTGGTCAATGAATACTGCCTTGCCACCGTATGATCTGCTTGGAGATTAGTCTTTCATTAAGTCTTTTGGTTTCCTATTTGCTGTCCCACAGAGTTTGTTAAGAAAGAGCACCGTGAGAAGGCTAGCACGCACGTCCCGTACCCGCACAACCAGTCGTTACGCCAATATTTTTTTTACTGTGGCCGGCAGGTACATTATTGTAGCAGCAGTGCAGAAAGTTGTACGTGTCGGCCACGGTATTTTGCCTTTTGAGTTACGATTTGCATGTTGTACTACAGGCTCATAGGAAATTCAAACTCTACTACAGTGACTGGATAAATTGCGGAGATAATACGGATATTATCTCCGTAATTTATCCAGTAGTAGAGTTTGAATTTCCTATGATTATTGTTTACCTGGATGTCTAACCTTCATCAACGTTGTATACAGAGTTTGTGAAGAAAGAGCGCCGTGAGAAGGCCCGCACGCACGTCCCGTACCCGCACAACCAGTCCTGGCGCCCGCCTGCCGACGTGAGAACGCCGCCATGGCCGCACAAGGTTCCCGAGGACAAGCGCATCACCTGTCCTAGGGAGTTCCAGCACTACGTACAGTACCACATGATGCCCGGCTTGTACAGTGCAGGTGAGTTTTAATGGTTAATTTTGTGTGGTCCTGGTCGCATAAGGCAGGTTTTCGAGGACAAGCGCATCACCTGTCCCAGGGAGTTCCAGCACTAAGTACAGCACCGGCTTGTACAGTGCATTGATAAAAGCGCCCTCTTTGATGTCGGATAGCGGCCAAACGGCTTGCGCTAGAACCGCCAAACTTTTCTTGGTGACGTACCAGTGGAATAAGTTTTAATAATAATAATAATTTTTGTTTCTGACGGCATTTTTTGCTAAATTTTGTAATTTTCGTTTCAACAATAGAATTTTCTGGGTTATACAGTACCATCGCTTGAAATACCGTGCATCTTATATACGGGCCTGCATGGGAGGGGGGGGGGTAGTGATTACAAATTACGCAAAATTTTCGTCGGCGATTACGAATTACGTTGAATTCTTAGAGCTGATTACGAACAAATTTTGCGTTATGGCTAATGTACTGATTACGAATTACAATGTTGGATGATTTTGCGCGACTGCATACGGATTACGGTGCATTTTTTTCACAGATTCGGGCATGAGGCCGAAGGTCCGGAAGGTGAAGCCGAAGAAAGTCCGCGTGGAGCGGCCGGACATCTGGAGCTTCGACTCGCAGAGATTCGTGTACAGGTCCATGCACCCTGCACTGCAAATATAAACCGCTAGGGGTGCATTATAGCCTCTACCAAGCTTCGGGAGGCGGCTAGAATTTAAAGAGAAGAGTAGAAATCGGCCAAATAGAGAGATGGCATGCTATCTCCTTTCTATTTTGCCGATTTTTACTCTTTCCAGCCGCCTCCCGAATCCTGGTAGAGCCTAGGTGCATTGATTTGTGTACAGGTCCATGCACTCTGCACTGCAGATATAAACCGCTAGGGGGGAGGGGCAGAGATTCGTGTACAGGTCCATGCATCATGCACTGCATATATAACCCGCAAGGAGGCGCAGGTATTCCTGCACTGCAGATATCAGCCGCAAGGGGTGCATTGGTTCCTGTATAGGTCCGTGCATCGTACATTACATGTATAAACCGCACAGGGATTTATTTTTACTATCATGTTTAAAGTTAAACTTTCGATCCAACACAAAACGTTCTCTCACCTAGAGCTTTCGACCAGTCACTCTGGTCTTCCTCAGTAGACTGACCCAGTGAGGCTTGTCACGTGACTTTTTTGAAGTGTGATGTCAACACTGGGTCAAAGGTCAACTCTCTAGATGAGAGAACACCTATTTACAAACTTACGGATACTGGCGAATACAGGAATAAACATCTGACTAATAAAAAAAATGGTATATGTTGTGATTGAATGAATTAATGAACGAACGAATGAATTAATGCATGAAATTTTATTTTCGAATGAAACTTTATTTTCATGTCGCGCGCTTTCCTGCGCCCAGCCCGTGTGGGCTTATACGACACGTACCGTTTGAGTATAAACAATACATAAACAAAAGAAAATCAAATGTACAGATAACAGAATCAAAGCAAAATATGAACACAAATAATGATTGTTTTCATGGCTTTCGATGATTGGGTGATGAAATGAGTGAGTGGATGGATGAAAGTGATAGAGTGAGCGAATTCGAGAGTGAGTAAGACACATTTGCACGAGGTAATGTAGATAAATTGAATGGTTTAGAATATCTGAGCATGTTATTAGCTTATTTACTGCAAGATTACAAACATAACCTTGGCTCTGTAGCATTATGCAAACACACGCTTGCTAGAAGAAAAGTAATAAAGAACGGCAGGCCTCCAATGTGTTAACTTTAACTTTTATTAGTACATTGTATGTATACAGTATAGGTCAGCTTACATTTTAAAACATCCTGTACAAGTCACACACTTTCCTTCAGATAGATAAGACGTATTTTCGCCACATCTTCCATCTCAGTACGACTCTATGATATGCCTTACACCAATCGCGTACAGGGTCTCGCACCGCGGTTATTTGGGTTATTGGTATCGTGCCGCAGTTTTCTATATGCTGCATCCATTTTACGTATACTTATTCATCTGTCCAATATATATTCAAACTAAACATAAGACATGTAAGCATTTCGTACAAATTTTGTTACTGTTCAGAATTACTTTCGAACACCTTACCATGATGCACGCCTCGTCTGCCCACGACTTAAGTTACCAGGCACTTCAACAATATGGCCGCCGGGTATCGTATTTCAGCATTTCTACAGCACTGAATATGTGCAGTCTAAATATAGCAACCACAGGAGGCATCAAGACTTACACCAACATGTTATTCCTATACAGTTCACAACGCTGAGTAATACAGTTAATATTTTCAAATGTAAACAATTTTTTTTTCATACCAACAATTACAGAAATTCTTATGATACGTTTTATGATCCGGCTAGTCTATCGCCAAAGTATGACTGCAAAATTCCGACCTTCAAGCATGCCTTAAACGGTGCGTAAAAACTTTATTTTCCTATTACGTTAAGAAACAGCATCTTTCATGAAGAAAGTTAAACTGTTCTCCAACTCAAAAACGAAATTAACTCACCAGAAATTTTCGCTGAATCGCTCAGTCTCCATCAGCTTTGTGACACAAGTGCTGTGGAAGAAGCCATCTACATCAGGGCATACCAACCTTTGCTCAACTGTGACGGGGGGGGGGGGCGTATCAACTTCAGACGAACTGACCCAGTGCTGACGTCACACATGGGCTAAAAAGTTCGTGTCCATAGCACTTGGGTCATAAAGCTGATGAAGACCTGAGCGATTCAGTCGAAAATTTCTGGTGAGTTTAATTTGGGTTTTT